GTTATGTGCATATATTGATAGTGGTTGTTCTACATGTTTTGGAAAGCAGACTTTATTTCCATAATTCTTGTGGAAAAAGGCTAAAAATCCTATGCAAGTTAGAATTGCTAATAATAATGTCATGATGCATACTAAAATAATTGAAGAATTACCAATAGAAATTGGAGGAGTTCAATGTGTTATTCCTATTTTATGGGCAACTGATCAACCTAGTCATGATATGATAATAGGAAATAATTTTCAAAGATCATACTCTCCATGCACTCAAAATATTGATCAAATAATCTTTACTATTAATGGTCATGTTGTTCCTATACAGAAAATCACAAAGGCTTATATTCATCAGACTATGGAATTTACGCGCAGCCAGCGTGGTGATAGGGTTACTCCTACACAACGAGAGGTTGAACTTAAAATTTCTGAGTGTGATTCATCATTAATAGATCAGATAAATAAGCAGCAAGAAAAGTTATGTGAAAAATTATATTCAACCAATCCTTTAGAACATTGGGAAAAGGATAAGGCATTTGCTAAGATAACTCTAACAAATTCGAATAAGACAAATGGTCTATACCTACCAAGATATTCAGGGGTTTGATGAACAAATAAAAGAATTGCTTAATAAAAAGTTAATTAGGAATAGAAAAAGTCCTCATAATAGTCCAGCATTCATGGTAAGAAATCATGCAGAAGAAAAAAGAGGTAAAGCTAGAATGGTAATTAATTATAAACAACTAAATGACAATACTGTTTTTTATGGTTATTACATTCCTAATAAAACCGTGTTATTTAATAGAATATAAGGAGCCACATGGTTTTCTAAAATGGATTGTAGTTTAAGAGTGGCTATTGGCAAATTAAAATGGAAGAAGAAAGCATTCCTTTAACTGCATTTAGTGCCCCTCAAAGGCATTATGAATGGCTAGTAATGCCTTTTGGATTAAAAAATGCTCCACAAATATTTCAAAGAAGAATGGATAATATTTTTAGAGAACTTAATCATTGTTGTTTGGTCTATATAGATGATATCCTAATATTCTCAAAAGATTTAGAGCAACATAAGAATGATCTTAAAGCAGTAACTCAAAAATGTGCAGAGCATGGTATAATGCTTGGAAAAGATAAATGTGTTTATGCTAAACAAGAAATTGAGTTTCTTGGATTAGAAATTAAAGCAGGACAAATAATACTGCAAAAACATATTTTAGAAAAGATTGAAAAATTTCCAGATAAAATTGAAGATAGAAAATACCTAGAAAGGTTTCTAGGATGTTTAACCTATGCTTCTGATTTCATAGAAAATCTTGCTCTATTAAGAAAACCATTATAGAAAAAACTCAAGAAAGAAATAACTTGGAACTGGAAGGAAAGCGATTCCAAAATTGTTCAAGATCTAAAAGCTATGTGCAAAGATCTTCCTGTACTAACACTACCTACTAGTGAAGATGATTTAATCCTTGAAACAGATGCTAGTAATGAGCACTGGAGTGCTGTATTAAAAATCAAAGAAGGAGAAAGACTTTGCAAATTTAGTAGTGGAAGTTTTAATAAAGCTGAGTTAAATTATCCCACAATGCAAAAGGAAATCCTTGCAGTCGTTAAAGGATCGAGAAGTTCTTAATCTTCTTAGCCCCTAAATAGTTCTTAATAAGAACAGATTGCAAAGGCATACTCGATTTTGTTAAAAAGAATTTGTTTAATATGCAAGCGCAAGGGAGAATCCTGCGTTGGCAATTATGGCTTAACCAATTCTCTTTTACTTTTAAACATATATAGGGATCGAAGAATTCTTTAGCTGATAGCCTAACCAGAGAATTGGCTAATGACGAAGAAGCACAAGACATCAGAAAAACCTCCTGCCCATCAACTAGAAAAGATGGAGGCAGAGAGAAAAACTCTTATCAAAGAAACTGACAAAGCAATGGAGCAGGCTGGTTTCACCCTCCACTTGGGCCTTAATGGAGGCCATGATTGTTTCATCAAAAAGAAGATCTCGAGACGGTTTAGTTAAAAGTTGTCATGTAGCAGTTCGAAGGTTCCTAATGTACAAAGTGATGGTCATTATCTTGAGGCTCATTCCTGATATTCAGGATATAATACTAAATAAAGTAAAATATAATAATTTTAGGTTATGGTATGATCTAGTTGTATCAAAGTCATACAAGATGTATGATGTCTATGATCTATGGAGAAGTAGAATAATATTCAACACCAATTCCATAGTGGGTACTGTGTCAATTCATCCACATTCACCGGAATGGAGGGCGTCTTATGTAGCAGAGCACTACAGAGCTTGGGATTATGGGATGGTTCATAGTATTGTACCATTTCCTGATAATAATACTACGTTCCTTGAGAAGCTCACGAAATTCTAGAAGTATATTTTTAGAAGAATTTATGAAGCAACAAGATATAAAGGAAGAGTTGAACAAGTCCAAGTGCAAAGTGCAAACATTCAAATGGTTGAAGGAAAAATTAACTCTCCACATTTCCTGATCATGTTTGAAGACGTTCATAGCAAACTCAAAGATCCAATCTGTATCCAGCAGAGAAGAGTAAAAGATCCTACAGAAGCAAGAGCTTATGGATTTTTCTATATTGCTCAGTATCTTAACCAGTTCATAGCCTTAAAAGAAGAACTATCAATACATGTGGGAAATACTACTATAGTAGCACCAGAATGGTTAAGAAATTATTTAGAAGAAGGAGTATTACATGGTGAATAGTGTATGATTATCTCGAACAAGTTGAAGCTAGGAGATATTTATCCTTAGAGGGAAAAGAGCACTTATTGGAGATCTTTGTCACGTGGGATGAATTCTATGATGCTAAATGTGTGATGGATCTAGGTATAAAAGAAGACGACCCAATGTATGTCCATTATGAAGAGAGTAAGGACAATAAAGGTAGTCTACAAGAAATGATGGAGTCCTAAGCCCACATCAGCAATTATGTTTCTACTTTTACTGTTGCAGCACGTTTTATTTGTTTTAAAGAGTCTTTAGAAAAGCAGTGAACGATGTTCACTTGCTGAGTCATGGTTTTCTGTAAGCCATAGAAAGTGTCGGTGACTTTTGTGAACCGTCCCCTATATAAAGGGCATTAGGCAAAGAAGTGAAGGCAGAGTTGGAAGAGTTATCTAGAGAATTGCTCTAAAAGCATTAGAGAGTCCTCTAGAGAAAAATACTCACCTTAAGAGACAGATTGGTCCTCCATCTCTCTTAAAGTAGAGAAAACTCTAGTTCAGCTTATGTATGTTTAAGCTTTCAGTTTGTTTGTTTGTTGTAATAAATGAGTGTTGTAATCTTTTCAAATTAAATAAAAGTTTCGTTCAAGAAGGGAACGTTATCCCCTTGAACCTTATATATCAAATGAGTTATCTTTCTGTTTAGTTCCATCATAAACACAGTAAGGATTGTCTAATTAGAGATTACAGTCTAAGATAGGAAACGAATTAGATATGTGCTGAGCCTGATCTAAGGAAGACATGGTTGGGGTTATCTACCTTGGTAAAGCTAGAAGCTCATAACGCCGGAGGTTCCATTGTCGACTAAGTTCAGGTATTGGTCAAAACTCTCTAGTTAAATAGCTATTATTGCGAAGTATGGTGGGCTTTTAAATTGTTAAAATAATTTATTTTGATATATAAGTAGTAGAGTTGTGATAACTACCACCGTTAAAAGTCATTTAAGTAATTATCAGATCGAATTGTAGTAAAAATCAGTGTATTATTAAAAACTGTTATTTTTAATTAAGATAATGTTATTAAGTTATTAAAACCTGTTATTTACCCTAAATGATATATATATATATATATATATTCTGACGTCACTTGGTATTGGGCGGGGTAGCCTATACCGGGAAGCGGTCCATCATTCCCCCTTAACTTGATATCCGATATTAGAGTGTGTATACGACAGGGGCGGAGCTACGTTGGTGCACACTGGTGCACGTGCACCAGCAGTCCCCCCAAAAAAATGAAGTTTAATTTTTTTTAAAAGAAATCTATCAAAGAGACCAGTTATTATAAATAACAGGTCTCTTAGATACTAGTAGCAATAATGCAGACTTCACTCACCCACTCCCACTTTATTCTCGGTGCTTTATTTTTGTAGTGAAAAGTGACCGGTGGTTTAAACAGCTGGTCCTTAAGCCTCTAAGGTCATTTTTTTTTGTTATTCTTTATAATAATGGGTCAAACAGACCGGTTATTAAAAAACAGGTCTCTATGGTCATTGTATTTTTTTTTGTTACAATTTTTTTTTGTTACAATTAAAATAATGGATTGGTCCTATTGGAGTAGACGTTATTTGTAGTAACTTTAGCTTGTAAGATGAATTTTTTAAGTACTATTTGATTGTAGTATAAATTTTTGTGTTATTTTTTTGGATTGAAATCAATTTGGTGGTGATATAATTTTTTTTTAATATGATTTTTGGATTGAATACAATGATGAACTAGACCCAAAATTTTTTGTACTATCATATGTGATTAATAAATGATGGTGGCTCACCAACTCGAAAATCCTAGATCGTCACTGGTATATGATATGGGAGACACCTGAAAGGCTAAAATAATAATAGTCTAATATTCAATGATTAATGATAATAATGGGGAATTTGTCAAAAAAAAAATGTTAATAATGGGTAAAAATAAAACCAAAAGAAACACAAAAAGAAAGTAAAGAACTTTTTGGGATGATGATAAATTGATAATAATGATGGTAGGACCGTTACAAAATCGACAATTTTGAAAATTCCAAATTCAAAAAATCAGATCTCAATATTTTCTTCATTCCGCATAAAAATCATACTTACTCCATCATTAGTATCTTGAATCCCATTTAAGAGCAAATTAATTACGAGTACTCCATATAACCATAATTATTTCGAAAAAAATTATTTTTATTTTTCGGTATAATTTTTTTTTTTTTAAAAAGCAATCATTCAAAAAAACCCACAAAAACCCAGCCATAAATTTTGATTGGTCCATATAATATGCGCTGTATTTGTATTTTTCATGTCGTTTTCTGGGGTTGCTTTCGTTTCTAGTTTCTCTCTCTTCTTTTCTCTCTCTAAAACTGAAGTCACTTTCTCAGTCTATAGAGAGTTTGATTAGAGTGGGTAAATTCTAGACCCTTTAATCTTCCTCTTATCCACCCCTTTTCACTAATTCTGGAGCAACACTATTCAGTTCATCATCATTTGGTGAGTAAATTTTGCATTTATTTCAAGATTTTTCTAAGTTTTTTGGGTTTTTCATGAACAATTTTCATGGACTAAAGTTTTTTTTTTTAATTTGAGGGAATGTTTTTGAACTCGGTTGTAAAGTGTGCTTTTAGTTTCTTAAGAATTGGGCATTCTCGTGTATTTTTATCATATAATATGTTGCTTTTTTTTTTTCGTTGTATTATTAGTTTAGTTTGGTGAATAGAGTTGTAAATGATAATTATATAAACGGAATTCGATCCCATGTCTTGGTACCATTTTCCGAACCAACTAAGCTAGTCCACATCAAGTAGTTTGTAGTTTGTAGTTTTGGTGATTATGAATGTTAGATTTTAGGTGGTAATTTTAATTATAAAACTTGAAATTTACTTGTAGTTTGGTTTTGTTGTTGTCCTGTTTTTTTGTTTTGTTTTGTTTTGTTTTATTTTTAATAGTATCTTGTATGCTTGAAGACATGCTGAGTTGATTGTGAAGGGTTTTGAATAAGATAAAATGATAAATAGCATTTGGGCTTGTTTATTAAGTTGCAGCATTGTGTTTCGGAGTTATTTTTTATGAAATTTTCAGTTTTTCCAATGATTTTTGTGGTGTGCATATTCGACACAAGTAATTACTCGTTAATTGGTGTTCAATTCTTGAAACAATCATGAGTGAAGGTTTGAAGGGTCCGTTATTTGACTCTTGTTTTCTTTATAATTCCAAAATTCCGACTGCTGTATTTGTATGTGCTTATTTCGTAAAAGATTTCGTGTATGTATCATTGTAGATTCTGAATTTTCTTGGAGAATTGGTGGGAATTGTTATAATTATACACAATATTAATCGGTTTGTTTCTTTTAGTTGTTGAAAATGCCTGAAATTCAACTTGGTGCTCACACTTTGAGGTCCCATGGTGTGCAAGTGGCTAAAATACATATGCATGATTGGCTCATTCTCTTCCTTCTAGTGGTGATTGATATTGTGCTGAATGTTATTGAGCCTTTTCATCGATTTGTGGGGAAAGGCATGATGGAAGATCTTAGGTATCCTCTGAAAGGCAATACCGTTCCTTTTTGGGCTGTCCCGGTATGTTTGGTCTTTATGGTATATTATGTTCTATCTGGTTATCAGGACTAACTTATTCCGAGTAGAATCAAGCACAATAACAGACATTTTTATTCTCTTCTTTTTGTTCGCAGATTGTTGCAATCTTGTTACCCTTCTGTATCATTCTTATCTACTATTTCATTCGGAAGGATGTCTATGATTTCCATCAAGCAACTCTTGGTATGCATACATTTTTATTGTTTAGAAAGGAGTAGGGAGTTGGGATAAAGGGTCCACTTGGCTGGTTAACGATACTAAACTTTGTGTCCTTTTGATATACAGGACTCCTGTTTTCTGTGCTTATAACTTCTGTTATAACTGATGCAATTAAAGACGGAGTTGGTAGACCTCGTCCTGATTTCTTTTGGCGTTGTTTTCCTGATGGAAAAGATGTAGGTTCAACTTCTTCACTAGTTGCAAATGTTTATTTTCAGCATATGGGAAGCAGAAATTTGGGCACTTCTTTAACTTATTCACTGGTTTCATTGTTATAATTCTCCAGGTGTATCATAATGTCACAGGAGATGTTATGTGCACTGGTTTTAAGAGTGTTATCAAAGAAGGCCATAAAAGCTTTCCAAGTGGGCATACTTCATGTAAGTGATGTAATTGCTATTTCCCTTATTATGCAATTGCAAACTATAAAATTCTCAGGACATCTCAATTCTCAAGAACTCTATTCTAGACTCTTCTGTGTGCTTGCACTCTCCCACAATTTGACACCCATCCAGGGTGTTGCAACCTCATCTCTACTGACTGCATCTTGTATTATATGAGTGTATGTAAATTCTCTCCCATATGTTGTGTGTACGATTTATAACCCAAGTTGTTTACTTTATATAGTGGCTAGAGTACTACTCCTCCATCAAGTTAACTCTGCCTAGATAGACTAGAACACTATAATTTAATAATACAACATTACCTCCTAATCAAAAATTTGATGTAAATGCAAAATCGTCATAACTAAAACTAACTAACAAACAAACAAAGTATTACACATGAACAACTATCTCCACAAGGTAAAAGATTGACTTCTTCATAGCTTGCAACGTGGCCTTACAATGTCAGGCTACCCCAGATTCTTGCAACTTACTTGTCAAAAATTGTTTGCTTATACCATAACTCGTATGCAGACCATCTCCCATATGTTTCCAAACCTATGGAAAGTCTGCTACCTAATAATCCTCCTCTCAAGCCTAACAAGACCAACCTCTTTGATCAATGACCAAGAGCTTCGAGTATTATTGTTAGGTTAAGGATGCTGCCCCTTAAAACAAAAGCCTAACAATCTTCCTCTCAAGACTTAGAGAACCAACCTCTTTGATCAACGACCAAGAGCTTCGAGTATTATTGTTAAGGCCTTAATTAAATATAGGAAACTTGTACAATATTATCTCCCATTAAATGCTTCAATGTAAATAAGAAACTATCCAGCTAACTACCAAACAAAGCTTTACAAATATTCAAATTCCATATCATAGTAAGTTTCCATGTATGGAATGGCTATCTCCACAAGGATGACTTTCTTCATAGCATGCTAGAGTGGCCTTTCAACATCATGGTGACCATATACTTGTAACTTATATGTCAACACTTGTTTGCTCACACTGTAGCTTGTATCGACACTCTCTGTGTGGTCTTAAATCTACTATAGTGTTAGCTTGTTGGGCTTGCTACCAAACATAAATTTCTAAGCATCATCTTCCATAACATTCGTTTTATTGAATTTGTCATCCAATTATTGATTTTTTTATTTTACTCTCTGAAAGATTGAAAATTGTTTGTCTTTGTGTAGGGTCATTTGCAGGTCTCACTTTTCTAGCGTGGTACATGTCAGGGAAAATTAGGTGCTTTGATAGAAGAGGCCATGTTGCAAAACTTTGTATTATCTTTGCACCGATACTTTTGGCTGCAATGGTGGGAGTTTCGCGTGTTGATGATTACTGGCATCACTGGCAAGATGTCTTTGCAGGGGGTCTGATAGGTATGTAGTGCATAAATCTGATTTTTTTTTTCTTTTTTGTTTTTTTTGGTAAATATTAATGCCTTGGAGTCTGATAGGTATGTAATGCATAAATCTGATTTTTTTTCTTTTTTGTTTTTTTTTTTTTTTTTTTTGGTAAATATTCGATGCCTTGTTAATCAATTGTCATCTCAATTTCTTACTTTATCTCCTTTGTTCTGCACAGGTTTTGTGATTGCTTCATTCTGTTACTTACAGTTCTTTCCACCACCTTATGCTGAAGATGGTAATGCCTTATGCTTTCTGGTTTAGTTGTATTTTCCTTCTACTTCAATCATCTCTCTTCTTATTTATGAAATGTTCATTGGCTTGGAACATGGCTTGTTTATTTCAACTTTCTGTTGGTGAGAAACAGAATTGGCTGGACATTCTCCTGTTGTAAAAGTAGATTCTTCGTTCTAAATAATATACAAGTATATGAATGTATGTTATCTAAAAGAAGCCATATAATCAATTAAAAGTTAAAGGTTAACGACACATTGACTAGTAAATTCAAAAACGTTAGTAGAAATTTTTTTTCTGGTTAGACAAGATATTGGCAAGGAATTTCAAACAATCTCCAAACCAAACCGGTCTTGATGCTAGAGTTATTTGTGTTATGAACTAAGACCACATATCTTAGGAAAGATGCAAGATGCTATGTAGACGACATGATGTGGGAAAAAATCGACACTATAATCATCTTATGCTGGGGTCTGATAGTCTGGTTGATTGTCCATTATTATTATTATTATTAATTATTACTATTATTGGTCGTCGTCGTCATGTGAAATATTTAATCATTCACATGTATTTAAGTAAATTCTTTATCCAATTTCATATTGCAATTAATGTCATTATTGTTTGGATCTAGCAAGAATGAATCAAGTTTTGAATTGTCAAGGATTAAAATCCCCCTCATGGATGCTTAGTTGTAGGATTAAAATATCATTACATATGGAGCAGCAATTCCCTTCTTTCTGAGTATAAATATATGTGAGATGGCATGGTTTTCTTGTTTTTAGCCTTCATTTATTATCAATTGTACTCTTGTTTCATCTATTATTGGTATTTGAACCACTTTACAAAAGGAGGAAAAAGCAAGGGACATGTTGAACTTTTTTTACTTATTTAAAATAATTATACAAATTAGACAACTTCCTAGGCTCCCATAGCACACAAACACAAAATTTTGAATTTACTGTTGCTTACAATACCAATACTTGAAAAGTTGAAAGATCCAAGATTTCTTGTTGTATCTTGTATCATGAAGACATGAATCCATAAAGAATACTTTTTTCATTATTGTTTTATAGTTATATTATGATTTTTGACATTATTTATTCACTTCACTTAAACCATCATTTACTATTTATACATAATTTATAAAAAAAAAAATAAAAAAAAAAATTACTCCCTCCGTTTCATAATGTAGTCCATGTAGAATCTTTTGACTACAAAAAATTAGAGGAAATCTTCTAAATTTCTCTTTATATATATAAACAAATATAGTCATATGAGATATAGTTTTATTCGTCTTAATGAGTACTTTATTAATACATAATTTTTATAATTTTTATTTAAGTGAAATTAAAGATATTAGCGACCAAAGATTTACATCGATATACGTAAATGGAACTAACATTATGAATCGGAGGGAGTATATAACTTTACAATTACAATCAATGTTTAAAGTTGTGTATTGGAAAACGTCCTACGTCAAATGAAACAACTAAAAAATCATTGTACTTCTTTTTGTCTCTTCACACTTGGAATTGCCATGAAATTTAGACATGGGATAAAAAAATAATTTAATTTGGGTTGCAAGGGGAAAAAAATTAGGAAGTGTTAGAAAGATTGGAAAAGATTGATGGAATGGGAAATGAAATGGGAAGAGTAAGGGTAAGCAGGATAGGTGGAGTTCTTTTGTAGGCACTCCAAATATGAAAAATGTGCAGTTCAGTTTTGGAACTTGGGAGTTGGGACGAAGGGACTAACATTTTTGGTTGCTTTGTTATTGTTGTTGGTACTAGTATTTTTTTTTGCCTAACAAGGAGACAACTTTAGTGCCAAATCATATTTTTTTGCAAATATTGTGTAGGTTATTTTGTTGGAAAATGTTCCGCTTGCAAAATGACAGGAAACAATGTGGCTTAAATGATTTAATTCCCCAAATAGCTTCTTTGGGATTTTGGACTTAAACAATGCTCGAGTTTGGTCATCAGTCTCCCCTGTAGATTTTTTATTCTTCAATTATGTTGAAATACATAGGGGTTGAGTGCTAAAGACTTCTGGTTTCCTGTTACTCAGTGGCTAAGTTTAATGGGTTATCTGCAACACTATGATTAAATCACTGTCTTTGTTTTAGAGGGATAAATGGGTGCTCTTCTGGTCATCACTTCAACCTGATGTCGATCAGCTGGTATGTTGTGTAGTTGTGTACTATTGGAGATACAGAATGAAATCTAAAGTAAAAAGGATAAAGCTACAGCTTACCTGAGTAGTTTATAAAAGAAAAAGAATTAGGACTTAAGAGGATATCTACAAGTGTATGAGAAAAATCAAAACCTTTCATTACTTTTTGGCTTTGGATTGTATAGGTTTAATCATATTGGCTCATAAATATTGTGTGTTGTGGTAGTATTGTGAAGTAGCAAAGGGTTTTGTTATGGTCCAGTGCTCCCTTGCATTGTCTTGTCTAATTTACTACAGGGCCTAGGCTAGGTAGATGCCGCCTTGCATTGCCTTGACTAGGCTACTGCCAATGGTATTTACAGGGAGTTGGGGTAAGGTGATTGTTGGGGCTTGGTGGAGGAGAGCGAGGAGGGCAGGGTGGTTATTGATACCAAGAGAAAATGCAAAAACTTCTCCATTCGGGAGTTAATCACTACTTTCTTAGATTTCCAGCCACTTCTGGATGTTATGGAGAATAAACTGCCTGCTATAACTGATTGCACCATAGCTATAATTCCTAGCAGGTCCCTCTTGTTCCAAACATGGCCGTAAATTATGCATGTATTCTGTAGTTGATGGTGTTGGAAACAAATATGCTAGTCTCACTCTTTTGCATCTGCTGTTGCCTTCAGTTCTTGTACTTTCCTTTGGTTCAAGTTCTCAAGATTTAACAAATGTCAATCTTATATATCTGTGGATTATGATCATTTGTACTTGTGCATTCTTATTTACACCGTCACTGTTTATGTATGAGTTTTGGTTTCATAATGCCTCTATCATTCTCATGTTGATCAGGTTGGGGACCCCATTCATATTTCCACATGCTAGAGGAGTCGAGAAATGGTGTTCAGCCTCCAAGTAACAATATGGATGCTCTAGCCATTCGTCCTACCGAGCTGGAAAGCGTACAAGTTGAATCCCAACATGGTTCAAATATGCCTTATTATCGGCGAGATTCAAGGCCTATACGAGATGACAGGGAAAGTGGGATGTAAATAGTGTATAAATCAATGAAGTTTGTACCTTGTTGGAGTAGTGAAAACTTTTCTTGGCTGTATTTAGGTTCATTTAGGCTAACATAGATTCTCCACTTCTGTTGTAGACACAAAACTAAGTCTTAATTGAAGAGTAGTTTCATATCGTTTGGTGTATATCTCATATTGTTTGCTGGGAGTTTAAGACTGTTATTGGCCAATATGTGCATGGGTCGGCTCAACATTTGAGACCTTTTTATACGCAGTTATAAATCACGGGGATGGTAATCAATTCGAGTGAAAGTTTATGAAGAACATTTTATGTTATTACCCATTGTAATGTTAGTCTATAATCTTAACCTCAATTTCTACATAAATTTCCATTGTTGTCCTAACTAATATTTGAAAGGTGTTATTGACTGAAAATGGAAATTTGTGAAGTAAAACCCAGTAACTTGTTCTCGTACATATGAAGTATACAAAATCATCATCAAACTTGTGATTAAGGACCCATTAAGGATCATTAAAAAACAAGTTGTAAGGAGTTTAAGTGTTTGAGCTCTTTACATAGAGCCAAATTACCTGTATGAAATGAAAGAACTAGTGTGGTAGGCTGCTAGCCATATATCCATTTATCCACACACATATTAGTTTTTATTACTCCTTCAATCCCTAATTTTTTTGTCCTATTTGAGTTTTTACAATCTTCAAAATATGTCTTAAAACATATATACCTTCTTTTATGTATGCATAAAAATTATTAAAAGAAAACTTGATATTAATAAAATATATCATGTAATGAATCTAGCAAGTACCTATATGGCTATATTATCTCTTATAGATTAATGAAAATTTGTAGCCAAAATTTTTGAAGTTTGACCTAAATATTAACAATGGAGCAAAAGGGAAGGGATGGAGGGGGTAATTAGATCTGATTAAGATGGGCCCGGCCTATTGACCCGCCTGATTTTGGGCGGCCATGGACATAACATCATGCCTTGTAGCCACCTAATTATGTCTTTCCGACCCAAATTTAGTGATGAATACCCTTTTATCGCAAATTCTTGGTTGCATTCTAGTGCAGTCAAGCTAGCTGCATCAGCCTTAAATATGAACATATAGTACATAAAAAATGAACATACGTTTTTTTCTCTTCCTTATATCTTAACTAGGTTAAACCCCGTGCAAATGCACGGTTGTTGAATAATTATGATAATAATATAATTATATAAAAATTAATGAATCGATTCATCAGGTATTAAAGTGCATGAAATATATTAAAACAATTAAAACATGTGAGAGAAAATATTTATAGTTATAATGTGCAAGTTGATATTTTAGGAAGTTTATTTTAGATTTTATATAAAAAAAAAGGTCATAATCTAAATGCAATCTTTATTTTTATATAATAACGATTTTATTTAGAAAGTAATTTTGGCGGTAATTTTTTCAATAATATGTTGCCAAGTGTTCCTACATATTCGCTTTTAGTAGCATGTAATTGATAAAAAAAAAAAAAAAAAAGGTCATAATCTAAATGCAATCTTTATTTTTATATAATAACGATTTTATTTAGAAAGTAATTTTGGCGGGAATTTTTTTAATAATATGTTGCCAAGTGTTCCTACAGATTCGCTTTTAGTAGTATGTAATTGATTGATGATTGATTTTCTCTCTTCTTCTTTCTTAGCTCTATTAATTTTCTCTTTTCCGTTTTCTTCTCAATTCAAAATTTTCTCTCTCCTCTTTTTTTCCTTTCCTTATAAGTTTACTTCACTTCCCTTCAATATTTAAACTTCTTTGTCATACTTCGGATATTCTCCAATTCGTCACCACTGTAGCATTCTCCATTGTCATCATCTTCGTCGCGATCATGAATCATGAGATAATTTTGTTTTTTTTTTTTTGTTTTTTTTTTGTTTTTTTTAATAAATATGTGAATGTTGTAAGAATTGTTTATTTCTATTAATTTTGCATTTGTGATTCCAAATCTATCATGTTATAGATCAATAATTATTGCATAATTTCTGTAAAAAAAATGAAAACGAAGTACTTTAAAATTGATAAATTTTGTACAAAATGAACATTTAGCACCAAAAAATGGACATATTTTATTGATTTATTTTAGCTTTATTTTTTGTGAATTATTTTATACAATGAATTTGAACCTATATGGATTTATGAAATTCATGTTCATTTTTAATATACAATATGTTCATAAGTTTTATTGACGTGTTATTTTATTATACTAAATGTTCATTCATTTAATATGTTTATATATTTTTATGAAATGTTCATTTTATTTGGTAACTGGTATTATCCAGCTATTTTATGGTTGTATGATAAATGTTCATTTCTAATATACTAAGGGCATGTTCTCATACATTTATTTTCAGTTCAGTTCAGTTCAGTTCAGTTCAATTCAGTTCAGTTCAGTTCATTTCAGCTCCTAATTTCCTTCTCTTTAAAATATTCATTTCAGTTCATTTTAGTTCGGTTCAGTTCAGTTCAACTTAGTTCAGTTCAGTTCAGCTGAGTTTAGTCTATGAGAATAGGCCCTAAGTGTTTTTTTATTCGACATGTTCACTTTTTATTACTAAATGTTCAATTTTTTAATGTTCATTTTTTTACATGTTCACTTTTTATTACTTAATATTTTTTTTACGTGTTCATTTTTTTAACTAAATTTTCATTTTTAAGTTCGTGGTTTAGCAAATTTATGATTATATGATAATCATATTCATTTTTAATAAATGATCATTTATTTAATAACATGCTCACTTTTAAGTATTAAATGTTAATTTTTTTACGTGTTCATTTTTTTATTGTTAAATGTTCTTTTTTTCATGTTCATATGTTTTAACTAAACTAGATATTCTTACGCTCGCAATGCGCACGTCACCGCTAACCCTTAACTTTGAAGAGAATTAATACTGATGAATGTTATGTCTTATGCATATTTGCATGGTATTTTATTATATTTATTTGCATGATATTTTAAGCACTTATTACTAAATTACACTTCATCATACAATTATACTTCGTAATTTTTGTACCATATATATTAAATTAAAATTAATTTAGAATACTTTGTTTTAAATGAAATTTATAATCAAATAAATTAAAAAAACTAAAAAAAAAATGGAGGGACTAAAGATACTTTAAATATTGAAATAAACACAAATAATTAATCAATTTTGGTGCTTTTGAATTCAATAGGGGCAATACATGTACAAGAATTTTTTTTATGGATATAAATGTTCATGCACTATTTTATAATAGTTTTCTTAAACCTTTTTAGAAGGCAGGGATGTTCATTTTATAGAGTGTTGTGTTTATTTAGGTGGATATGTTGTCTGGGCTATTTGAATTGGGTCGCGCGTTTTGGGTCTTCCCTTGTTGCAGCTAGGAATATAGCAGCTAAGACCCATTGCCCTTTTATTGCCAATTGGCCAGGTTGTGCATTGAATTGAAATTAATAATTGCTTGAACTCCTAGTCCATTTTTATCTTAATTTACCTAATCCAATACTTTTCTAGCCTAAACATCTATTCAAACTTTTTTCCTAGCCCAAATCCACAAACCATAGCCTAATTTTCACTTTTTGTGACTAGAGTCCAAAATCGAAGAAAACTGACTTTTGTGCCCCATAACGTTGATTTAAATCTGGTTTGATTTAATAGCCCTTGAAATAAGTTTTCCAACAACATATCATAAAGCCCATTTTTTTATTTAAAAACAAAGAAGACATGAGCAAACCACTAAAACTCAGCCCAAAATCGACACTTTTGCACTCAAACGGCCATATATTAAAATCTACATAAGCTTATTATGACCTAATTCTAATTGGGTTGGAAAGTAGACTTCAAGATCTTTCCAATGACATATTATGCTTTCTCTATTCTTTTTTACTTGACCTGCTTCTTTTATCACGCTTGCCAATGTAAACCTTTAACGACCAATAACTTTAATTCTCAATAAGTAAAAATTATAAAAGTTATATATTATGATGGCTTATTCAGACTTACTCAAAAAGATCCCTCATAAATATGTTTTTTCTTATACATTATTCATAAAAGACGGTCAAAGGAGGGGTGGTGAATAGTGTAAAAGTCAAAACGGGTCAAGTAAAAAAGAACGGAGAAAGTATGTCTTATTCCAAGGTACGGATGAAAAGTTATGGAAGTTTTAAAAATTGCGCAAAATCTGCCAAAAGTGTCGCGCAACGTTACATTTTACCGCGCGACGATACATGCATATATTCTTTGTACGATACCTTATTCTCCGCCTTCTAGTTTATAAATAGGAAAAATTAGAAAAAATAATCCCAACTTTCATCAATTTTGGTAGAATAATTCCAACTTTGGATTATTTTGGAATAATCCGAACTTTGGGGAGTTCTCTTTTTCTTCAATCCCAAATACCGGTTACCGGTTGAATGGGTTATATATTTTTTTTTGGTTTAAGTGACACGTGTCACAAATTAATTGGCTAAAAATATTTAAAAAAAAATATAAAACAAATAATCTTTCAAAAAAATAAAAAAACAAAAAAAAAATCCACCAACCAAAGCCCCAACCACCAGCCAAGTCGATCGGAAACTTGCCCAGCCTAGCCACCTCCTTCGCTGTATTGCCGGCCTTCCCCCACCCCTAGAGTCGCCGTTCTAGCCAAACCACCACCCCTGGAGTTGTCGTTCGAGTCAAACCCCTAAAACATCAACCCTACTCTCGAAAACCCCAAAAACCGGCCACCACCCCACTCACGAAAATGCCTCAAAGCCATCAACCCACTCCCGAAAACTACCAAAAATCCCTCCCCCACCATCGAAAACCCTAGACGCTAGGGTTTCGAGGTGGGGGAGGAGTGTTTTATGGTTTCGTGGTTGCAATTTTGTGTGGTTCCGTGGTTTTGGGGTTGGTGATTTCAGTGGTTGTGTGGGGCAACGGGGAAAGGGGAAAATGGCGAACGACGATTCAAGGGGTGGGGGGGGGGATGCGGCGGCCTGAGCTGTGGTGATGGAGGTTAGATTAGGTTGGTGGGTTGGCGGGCTAGGTTGTGGTGGTGTGCACTGTGCAGTGGTCAAGGGTGGATCGGTGGTAGAAGGGAAGTTGGGTGGGTTTTTTTTTTTTAAAAAAAAATGGACCGATCAGGACTTGACACATGTCAAGTGACCTGATATAATAGGTCATTGACTTTGGTTGACCGGTTTGGGATTGAAGAAAAAGAACACCCCCCAAAGTTCGGATTATTCCAGAATAATCCAAAGTTGGGATTATTCTACCAAAATTGATTAAAGTTGGGATTATTTTTTCTAATTTTTCCTT